GACCAAGGGATGCGACAAATTATTACCGAGACATTAGCAGGCAAGTAATTGTTTTTTATTATTATATTTCTAATTTTATTTTCACTCTCAATTAATTATTGTTTCAATATATTTCCTGTAAGCTAACGATTATTAGTTATGTTATTACAGGCCCGTTTGGAAACACAACACTGCAAGCTTGTTGTGGAATTGGAGGAAAATACAACTACAATAGCAGGCGGTTTTGTGGGAGTCGCGGTGTGCCTGTTTGCTCCAATCCAAACAATTACATATTCTGGGATGGTTTGCATATGACGCAAGAAGCCTCGCTTCGAATCGTCAGGATTCTCATTCAGCCCGCACTTTCTACGCTAAACTGTGCAACATAATTATTTTGTATCTTTCGTATGCACCAATTGCCAACCAATTGATCAAATGTCAATAATTAAGTCCTTACACACACATATATATATATATAGCTAATTATCATTTAATATTTACTAGCTAGCTAGATGCTGCAAATTAAGCTGCGTCAAATAAATTTGCTATTTTGTTTCTTCTGGATGTAATATTTTGATTATTATTCATTCAAAAGCTGTCTTTAAATTCCAATTTTACAAATGCATATTGATGAGAAGTAATTTAAGTATTCATTCAAATTAAAGTTATTGTTCCTTTACAATAAACCGTGGACTCATAGACTTGTATTTTCTCGGAAATAGAATCATTTGTTTAGATGACTTTATTTTATGTAGCGAAAAGGAATTTCAAGGATGATGACAGCATTTTGTAGTTTATATAAATACTAATGATTAATTTACAGTGTGTGGTACATTTTTTTTTCTTTCCCAAAATGATGGATATTATTATAAATCAAAAGCGCACAAATGTGCAAATACAAGCAGCTCTTAGCTGAATGAGAACAACCACTATAGCAAAGATATATAGAAGCAAATATGCTACAATTAATTCATATATGTTTCAAACACAAAATATTATTATAGTTCAAATTGCAATTCGAATTATGAATATTGAATTCGAATTAAAAGTTTAATTAAAAATAATCAATTGTACCACAAGCCTAGTTCGGAGTGACTCAATCATTGGTAGGTAAAGCTCTAACATAGTACGTCTATG